AACTTTTCATCCCTATGTGACATAGGAACATGTTACCATTAAATTATCATGCATCTGCCTTTGCACAGCATTGGTTGATGTGCAAGGTTTTCCCTTGACTTACAAGCAAGCAGATCTTTCAGTTACCTCACCTTTATCACATGGTTCAAAGATGAAAACATGCAAATGAATGATAGTAACGTTTTGAGCAAACTATGTCATGGTTACTGTCCTGTGTATTTACAGAAGATCACTATGGATTGTCTTTGAGCAGAAATACAGTATAGCCTGCATGGTAAGGATCTAACTCTGCAAACAGTTCATACACAGAGGCGGTGTTCATGTTGTACTGTTTTTATAGAAGTTTGTGATGCCAAGCCCTGAGTTGTGCCGTTCATGGGAGAACTAGAAAGATAATGTGATTTCATTTACATATGTTTTTTTAAAATGAAATAGTGAAAAGGTGGAAGTTAGAATTCTATACAAAGCAGACAAATGATTTGATAAATGGTGGAATTTTTAGAAACTTCTAAATGTATTGATTTCAGCAGAAAGGGGCAGATCTCACTGCTATATTATCATTCCTATTTTGCATTTCCTTTTCCTACTGAAGGCTGGATATTGTTAATCCTTTATCCTACCAAAGCAGCTCTATGTGGTATTACTGGGGTGATAGATTAAGGGCCAGAAGTGTTTAAAGAAGTTAGAGAAGGTTATCCTTGTAATCTCAGAAGTGTAGTTAAGATTTCAGTTATACCTGCACGTGTGTGTGTATTGTCCATGAATGAAACTGAACAGCTGAGGAAATAGCCCTAAATTCCAATTTGAATTCAGAGAGCCGAAAACTTCTAAGAACAATGTATATCTCCATATGCTTGAATTTAAATTCTCACACTCACCTTTAAAATGATGAGAAACAGCCGTGACAATTTAAGTGATAAAAGGTTAGTTTTCTTATGTTTGATCTTCTAGATCAAGGGAAAAATAGTCCTCTAAAGATGATTTTTGTATCCAATAAATACACTTTCATAGCCACATAAAAATGACAGAATAATTACTTTATATTGTCAATCTCAAGATTTGGAGCACCAGTAGTGAGATATCAGCCTAATCTCAGTAATCCTCCTCTACTCCCAAAATAATTCTTTGATTATATATTGTTTTAGTTTTGGTATTTAGTGGGAGTTTTTGAGTGGGCAATGATTATATTGTTGCTGACTTCCATATTTATTGTGAGTAAGACTCTGTGATCAAATAAGATTTGTTTGTTATATTTGAGTAGAGGTCTGCAGGCCTCTTTTTCTGCAAATTTTTATATTGTTATCTTCTGATGAATTTGCAATGTGCAGTTCCATATATATCCATGGCTTTTTGAAAACAAAGGAAAAAAAAAACCCAACCCTGCAAAGTGGACTGGCCAACTTAACTTTGAGTCCTCCTCCTTATGCTACTGTCATGCAAGTCGTAGATGCTGGAGCATAGAAAAATACCATCTGCTATTCGATCCTGTGATCCAATGTTTGCCGAAAGAAAGGAGCTTTTTTGCTGTTAACTTCCAGAGTTTATTATGTTAATATCTTGGGTGATCTGTTGATCACGTGTATCGTTATTTTTTCTTTAAATATTTCAAAGAAGTCAATATTTATTGTATGCTTTAAAGACTTCTTGAGCTGTCTGACTGCAAATAAGAATAGGAATAGCATTATCTATATTCTTTCAAAGTCTCTGAAGATATTCAAACTTCTAGCACAGCTAACTCCGCAGTAATAGACTTAGGCTGTAGTTTTTTCTTGTTTACATTCATGTCAGTGCTGATACTTTTTCCTGGATTGAAGGATGTGAATGTGTATGTTTTGGATTTTCTGCAATTATGTGGTCAACCTGTGATCTTGCAGGCTCTTCAGTTAGGTTTTTGTAGATGGATAATGTAATCTTTAGATAAGAAAATGAAAAGGTGAGCTTGAAGTCATTAAGAAGATGAAAAAAATTACAACTTGTAGGTTAAGTAACTTAAATAGTGGAAAGTAGAATCCTTTTTGGGAAAGGAAGGTTGAAAAATCAAATCTGCCACATTTTTTATTTTAAACTGTCAAACAGACCTCTCTGGTCTTTAATAATGTTTTTTTTTTTTTTTCCTTTTCTCAGACGATTGAAAATTGTCTCATAACATTTTAGGAAACGATATGAGTGGAAAATGGCTTGGGGCTCTGCATGTATTGCTTTTGTTTTTATTAAGGCAGTTCAGAGGAAGTCTTTGAATGTTTCTTTTATTGATATCAGCAGAAAGAAAGTTCACTATATCAGTTAAAGTTTTGCAGTTTATGGAAACTATCTGCTGACTCTTTCTCAGCTTTTACTGAGGTACGTTTTCTGAGACCTCAAATATTGTCTATATGCAACTTATACTGAGTTAAAAACAGAACACGGTATATGTTTAACATAAAATGAGTAGGCTTTTAAGTGAATGCTTAAAATTGATATAAACCTAGTTTATATTTCATGTGCAGACAAGATGAGAGAAATTTTGGCAACTCGATTTTCCCTGCCCCAAATAAAGTTGAAGGATGTAGTGGTAGTAGACATAAATGTTGCTTCCAGGTCATGTGTTGGAGATCTTAGATACCTCTGAACTCCTTGGTCTTTAACACTGTTAGACGGTGTTAATTTCAGAGAGAAAGTGGAAACTTTCTGATCTTAAAGCTGCTGTTGTCAACAAGGTGCCTCAGTGAAGACACCTGTCCCTCTCATCTGTCTGTTTTGGATGCAATCCAATGAACAAACAGTTTAAGCTACCACCTTCAGGATCCCATTGTCATGCAAAAAAATTATTTTCCTTGCAACTCTTAAGTTCTTTCACTCCGTTATGCTTCAAGCTTTCTGAAATCTAGCTTATTTTAAGAAATTAGATTTGCATGGAAGTGTCAGATGTCTAAGTGTTTAACCATCCCCAACATATGATTGTTTTAATGCAGTTTGTGTTATGAGAAATGAAACAACTCCTACAGCTCTACTGTTGCTTCATATGACTGGGCAAAAGAGAGGAGTGATATTGCACTGTAGAGGAGCAAAAACTGAGCTGGCAGCAGTTGTAGTTTGGAGATCCTGAACTGCCATGTGAAAAATTACGTTAGTACGTTTTTTTTACTGTAGATCAGTTAGACCAGCAGTGTCCTGCTGCATCCATCTGAGTTTGTTATGGAGTTGCTCAGAACTCTGTTGGAAGCGGTACATCAGAAAAACTAAAGAATTAGCCTGTATTTGCTTGGAAGCTGCTGTCAGTGGTATGTATTAAAATTATAATACAATTTCTGTTTTTTCATCATGAACGTTGGGCATGATTGACTCTGTTTACTGCCCAGTCCTGACTCAGCTAAGACTCCTGTTATTATCATTTGTGATACCTGCTTGACAAAATACTAGTACTTTGCATATATTACTGAAATACTATGTGTTGTCTGATAATGGCTTACCTGATCTTAACCCTTTGTTCCCTCTGCTGTTTTAGGAAATACTGTGCAATTCTTTCCTGGTAGATAATGTTCCTGCTCGTATTTTGAACAGTAAATTGTTTAGATAGATTGGTTTAAACTATTACTGCTTTTATTACTTAGCATGCAACTAAAATGAATAGCTAATACTGCAAAGCTATTGTTTCCTGCCTTGTGTTTTAAAGGCTTCACTGCAGCAAGCCCAGTGAGACAGCTAAGTGGATGCTGAGAATATTCTGAAGGCTTGTCTGTGTCCTTATAGCTAGGTATACAGAGGAAAGTATGCACCTTGTGTGCTTTGAGGTTGAATTTTACTACCTACAACTGGAAGATACTGTTCTGCTGCTGCTCATTAAGTAAGTAGCTGCTTGTCACAAAAGTAATAGTTTCACATCTTCACTTAAAAAGCAAAACAATAAAAATGAGGATATCTGAAGGGCTCTTCCGGCTCCTTCCTCCCCACATATGTATATGATAAGCAATATTTAAGAAGTAGACTGTTCCCTGAAGTTTAACCATATCCAAAAATGATATTTTCTCTCACAGTAGTTGAAACTGATTCTTGATTGTGGCATGATAGGTGTGCTGCTGTTTTCCCTGAGGCATTTTTGTGAATAAAGCTCAGTTAAGGACAGTGAATGTTAGAAATAGATACTCTTAGCCCAGCTGGTACAACTTTAAAGAACGCTTTCAGAAGTCAGGGGTGGAGGATACAATTTAATTTTGTGCTGCTCAGCTCCCATAGGGCATTGGCTCTTCTGGAGATACTAGTCCAAGGAGATGAAACTATTCCTATTCCAGCTGTTTTGCTTCTAACTCCTATTTCCTCTTACTGCTGCTAATGGTCATGAATACAGTTGATACATATCAGCTGCCTGTCTGTGCTACTGACTTATTTTGGGCATGGGACTTTGTTTAAAAATTTGGATTTTTGGGGAAAAAGGGTTAAGAGAAAAATGTTTATTACATTCATTTATTTTAGAATGGTAAAGTAATGAAAATTGCTCATAAAGCCTGTCAATTTTTGTCAAACTGCTGTTTGTTACCCACGTTCCACGTTTGTAAATTTAGTCTTTTTTTACTGCAGTTGCATTAGTATACTTCTCTTTTTCTGTCTGCTGACTTTAAAGAAGGATGATATTGTTTAGGAAATACTGAGGTAACTCCCTTTTTGTCTTTAAATACAAATCATCTTACATTTCTCCTGTCTCCATTTTCTCCTTGCAGTTAGGCAATGATGGATTAGAATTAGGCTGCAGCACAGATTGGGAAAAATCTCCCAGCATCCTCTTCCTGCAGAGGCATCGGCTACCAGCATTGACTGCACTTTAAATGACATTTCTTTTAAATGCAGCTATGGAGAGCTCCTGTGTTGCCAGCTGCTGGCTTGTAAACTTTTATCTTTTTATTCTTTTTGCCTCATAACTAATGAATGAAACCTCATGGTTTCTCTCATTGAGAAATAAGAGAGAGAATCAGTTCTCTCTTTATGCTTTTTTCCTGTCTTTATGTGTGGTGGAAAAGAACAGAGTGAAAGAAGCAGCACTTATTTTTACGTACGGACTGTATTTACTCACCTGAAGTTAACTGAATTAACCCTGTGAGTATATTATCTCTACCTTCTAGTTTCTGAAATCATGATTGTGGTAGTCATATTAAATTTATGGGAGGTTATCTGGGAAAATTTACTTTGGCAGGTATGCTGTACATTTAAAAAATGTTTTGTAGTTTAGATGGAGTTCCTTCAAGAGGAGGTAAAATAATATATTCAGGTTGGGTTTATGAAATAATTATTTTTCCTCTGCACTTTGCA